ACATTTTTAGGAAATTTATATTCATGAGAAGGACCAGTCCAATATTCAATCATTCCAGACTTGTCAGAAGATACTATGATTTTAAAAACAGAATTCAGTTGTATCTGAGTAAGAGGGGATGTATGCAGTTTATCAAAAACATGAAGTGGCTGGTTATTGCCTCGACCGTCATATATAAATATTTTTCCAGTACTCTTCTCAGAGGCTGCAACTGAAGAGATAGCATCTCCTGGGCAGTAGACCCATTCACACTGGCCCGGATGGTAGCTAAAATGAGATGAACATAATATTAATATTTTTAACATTCCTTTTAACATTCCAAAACAAATTTTAAAAGCTATAAGGATCAAATGTATAGAAAAAATAATGTATTTCTAAAGTATACACTACAGCTTCATTAGTAATAATATTTATGAGTTATTAAAGCATTCAATGTATATCCTGCTATTCGTTTTATCCTTATAGCAGTCCAACTCTGCGTATATTCAAAAGTGCTGGCAAGCTCACCAAAGTAAGCATCTTTGCTTTTGATAGTCATTGTTTTCTAAAATGCACAACTATGTATAACTCTTTCCCTTCCATTGGCAGAAGCATGCAAGCAATTAAACCTACCTTAATGCTTTGGTTACCATAAATGACTAATTAAATCCATAATAATATATTGCCTCTGATTTTATGCAATCTGTCTTGAAATACACTGAAAAAAATTAATTTATCAATCATCACTTAATCAATTTTTAATGACATTTTAGGCAAATATATTATAAAACACTTAGCAATCAAACCAGTATAGTTGCAAATATTAAGTGATTTACCCAAGTTTCAACATGTTGATCATGTCAAAGTTCACCACATCAAAAACTTTCATTGCTTTATCATCCCCAACAGAGCAAAACAGCGCTCCTTCTGAGCTAGTTGCAATGCCTTCGATAACACCTATTGTGGATAAACCAAAACAAAAAAAGTATTCTCTAGCAAAAAAACCAAAAAACGTTAATTTGAGAAAATGTTTGAATAAACTCATATAAGTGATTAAAAGTAAATTTTATCATAAACATTCAAAGATGGCTATGACTATCTCAGAACTCTTCCTATTACATTTTTGAATAGATCTGTGTAGGATATTGCTGTATGGCAGATATCCAAAGATCACAATACAAGGAGACCTGAGGGCTACTTAAATTTTCTGATATCACAGCATGGCTTCAACTACAGTCCTGAAAAGCCAGTTTTCAGAATTTTTATGATTTTGAGACATTCAAAAGAAAATTCTCAGAGGTCTGTATTTTGCAGAAAGAAATCTCTCCAATGTCTACAGGACATAGTTATACCAAAGGTGCTTTTTCATGAGGCAACTGGACTTTGTTTTCCTTTGAAGACGTTTCACTTCTCATCCAAGAAGTTTCTTCAGCTCTGAAGAAATCCCTCAGAACAGAGGTTCCCAATCTTTTGGGCACCAGGGACCAGTTCCGTGGAGAGAGGTTTTTTCCACGGACCAGACGGTGTGTGGTTTTGTGTGATGCCTGCATCTCGCAGATGGGGCTTTGCTTGTTTGTGGGGCTCAGTTGCTAGCATGCTGCGGCCTGGTACTGGTCCATGAACCCCTGCCTTAGAAAATAGGAAAGTCCAGTTGCCTTGTGCAAAAGCACCTTTGGGATAATCTTTCCAATCCCTTACTAGAATTGCCATATTAATTTTTGCCTGCTTCTGCTGAGTAATGTAACTCAAGGGACAGACTGTTATCTAACAAAAAGCTTAAAGTTAATTAACACTGACACATATCTCTATAGTAACAATTTAATATAGCAAATTTGTATTTAATAGGGTGGGAATACAGAAAAAAGAAAGAAAAATAGGCAGTATAAAAATTATACTATGCAGATACACAATAATTTACCTAAATGGCTACGAAAATGTTTAACAAATTCAATTCCTTCTTCTACCTTCTTCCAGAATTTGACATGTCCATCATGGCTGGCTGTTATTATGAAATCTGTTCTGCAAATACAATGATATAAAAGAAATAAAGGCCTAGAAGATCTAAAGTTTCTAATGCACTAAAAGGTGTTGTACTTCCCTAGTTTTACACACTGATGCTTAAGACACGTTTCAGATCTTACTATGATAAAACTGTAAAACCTGAGCAAGGATCTTCTGGAACAAAAATGAAGGAGTGCAAGGTACCATGCTGAATTTTGAGGGAAGCCTTGCCATTTTACACCAAACAGCCCAAGATCATTAATTCTTTCAGAATATGTCACACAATTTGGATTAAGCCCTTTACTGAGTTTGGAACTCTGGATTATGATGTGGATTTACCCCAAGTACTCTAAAGTGCAGTTCAGAAAACCTTTCCATAGAATTTGAAGCAGGATTCAGCTAACCACACTGAAGTTAAATTGTACATCTAAAGTAACTTTTAAGCAAAAACATTTTCTGAAAGAGATATGCAATGCAATATTACATTGGTAAAAAAATATTAGACTTACTTAGAACATACTACATGAGTGATGACGTCTCTGTGCATATAACTACGCTCATACATTGAAGCACTGGGAAGATTATCAAGGTAGACATGTTCAAACTCAAGAACTATGAAGAAAGTAAGAAATTTTTTTAATGAAAATGCTTCACTTAGATTTAATTTAAAGCAAAATTTAACTTTTTAGTCAGAGCAATACAAATATCAATAATCTCAATTCCATAGCTATGTGCCCTAGAGCAGTGGTTCTCAACCTGTGGGTCGAGACCCCATTTGGGGTCGAACGACCATTTCACGGGGGTCGCCAAACAACGCAGTCCGCCATTGTTTTCCCCTTTTCCTTAGCTGTGCTACTCCCTTTTATTCTATTGGCTTTTGAAAGCCAATAGAATAGACTCTCTTGAATAGAGTCTAATTCTATTGGCTTTCAAAAGCCAATAGGAATTGTCCAGGCTGTCTCTGCCCTGCTGAGCCCGCCAAAAGTCCCATTCTGCAAACGGTGCTGCACCAGTTGAGTAGTCCTCGACTTACGACCGGTTGAGTAGTCCTCGACTTATGAGCGGTTGGGGGTCGCGGCATTAAAAAGGTTGAGAACCACTGCCCTAGAGGTATGCATAATTTAATCCCAGTACAAACAACAATGAAATATGTGTAAGATCACATGGCTGAAATCCTTTCATTCTAAATCATTTTATGATGATAATGATTATATTTTTATTTCACCTTTTAAAAATGTATTTTGGTCAATTCAAGATAGCAAACATACCTAACATTCCTATTTTTTCACAATTACTCTGATGGGATCCACAAAATGAGTTGCTCGTCACAATTCCTTTGGAAAAACATTCCTCCAGAGATTTATGACCCCCAACTGACCTATTTAAATGCCTTAAAACCTGCCTTTTCCTTCAGGCTTTGGATTAGGTTGCATGGTGAGTCTCTGGTGGATATACCGTATGTTGAGAGATGTTAGTTTCATTTTGTTTAGAAGGCTTAGCATTTTTTTTTCATTATTGTTAATTTATTTTTAAGATTGTACACCACCTAATCTGCTATGAAGTCTGAGGACCTTACAAATTTGATAAATAAGCAAATAAACTTTTATAAAGAAAAATATTGATAAGTTTGGGTACTCTGGTAGTTAATTTAACAATCTGCACATCAGTTAAAAAAGAGAAATGGTAAGTAGGGGTAATATAAATTGTCTTAATAGGACTTGTACAAGAACTAGTAAGTAGCATGCTGGGATTTCACAGTGAACAAGTTAACCACATGGAGTGGTGGGGCATTCTCAATATACAATAAGCTACAAAAAAAAATCTAAACAAGTCCTAAAACCAATCAAGTGTTGGCCCATTTACTAACAAACCAAATACTACATCCAGTCAATGGGAAAAATAACCCTAAACTGTTCATAATAACAGTAAATAGTAATCTTGATAACCGTACTAATACTGACAAATGCCACAATATGTGTGGGTCTAAGTGTGTATGAATGCACAAATACTATAGGTCAGGGGTGTCAAACTGCCAAATGCGTCATGTGGAAGCCACGCCCACCCCATTGCCAGCAATGGCAAAACCGGCCGATACGTTGCGTGACGTCATGTGATGTGGCAAGTTTGACATGCCTGCTATAGGTGGATTAAATCATGTGAAACCCAAAAGTTTATAGATACAGGTATACAGTTATAAGCTTGCCACTTCCAGGAAATATACATCAATTTAATCCACAGATTTGAAGGCTGCTCTAAATCAATGAGTGCTGAGTGGAAACTTGTGATTTAAAGATAATGACAAGGAAACACAGCCGGATTAGACTTAGGTTGCAATCTTGCAACTCTATACTTGGCATTAGTTAACATTAAATGCAGTAGGATTCCCCGAGAAAAAAATGTCTGGAATCAAAGTGTTAGGATTGACGGTGCTATAGGTACTACTTCACTCTTGATCTTCCGGATTAATTTTATTTTTATTTATAATTTATTAGATTTTTATCCCATCATTATTACTTTATATTTATTTATTGATTCAATTTCTTTAGCTCACGGGTCTTCAAGCTTGGCCCTTTTATGACTTGTGGACTTCAACTCCCAGAATTCCTCAGCCAGCGTCCCTGGCTGAGGAATTCTGGGAGCTGAAGTCCACAAGTCATAAAAGGGCCAAGCTTGAAGATCCCTGCTATAGCCACTCAACTCAACCAAGTGACTTGGTCCCTATTCCTCCCTTACCTCTTCTCTTTTTCGCCTGCACAGCCTCCCCAGGTAGGGGCCCAACCCAACGCTCTTGGTCTTTCTCTCCTTCCTCCTCAGACCCTTCATGTTTTTCAGCCACTTCCTTCTCCTCTACTTCCTTCTCTTCCTCCTTTTCTTCTTCTCGAGCCCTTCTTTTGCGAACACATTCCGCCGACTCCATGTTGCCTTACGTCATCTTCTGACGACAAGTCGCCGAGGGCCATTCGCGAGCCATCCTGTAATGACGCAATACGCATTCCCACGCTAACCTTTCGAGCGGCCAATGAGAACGCAGCCCGCGCGGATTTGTACGCGAGAGAACGTCCTCGAGTGTCGGAGTTCCCTGTAAGGCGAAAGGGGCAGAAGGAGGGAGCAGAACTATTGCTATGGTAATGTCGAATGGGAGGCGGTGCATCTCCGGGTAGAACAGCATCGGTAGAAGCGGCACGAACGCTTCCATCCGTTTCACTGAAAAGGTTGCAACAGAATGTCTGGTTTCTGAGAAACGGCTGTCTGTCCGGGAGGGTTAGGGGAACATGTGGTCTTCCAGATGTCGCTGAACCACATCTGGCAGCCCTGGTCACTTGGGATGAGGCTGCGGGGAGCTATGATTCAGCAACAGTAGAAGGCCTTAGGTGCTTAATCCCTGCTCTAAAGGACTGCAGCAGTACTGTTTATAATTAGTTATATTTTTCTTTGTAATATATTCTTTACAGCTTTTTTTGCACTTGGGGTTTTTTATTTTTCTTTTTTAAAAAAACCCCTTTTATAAAATAAAGTAAAAATATATTTTGGTATCAACTGTTGATGTGAATGCTGGTTTTGCTTAAACTGTTTTAGGCTCTGCTTTCAGTTACAAACTCCTTTTATGTCAACAATAAATACAAATAATACTGTTCCTAGGCTGAGAAACTTGCCAAAAACTTTTCTTCAGATAAGCAAGACATGTGTTCAAGCTCACCTAACATGTTATTAGATTCAGAAGATTCCAAAGAACAACTCTTAGAAGAATGTGAAAAAATATGGAAACAAGTGGAGGAGGTAATAAGCAATAATTGCAAATATTTATGAGATAAGTGAAGCTATGCATCTGAATATTTGCTGTTAATTTCCTTGTTTCTTCCTCAGCCTAAGCAGAAAGATGAACTTTACTATCATTACAAAAAAATCATTAACTTTAAGATACCAATAAACATTCCCAAAAAACCTTTTGAAAAAACTAATCAAAATGTTAATTCTCACAATATTTTTAACATAATGGCATGGAATAAATTATAAATAAAAGTTGATTGTATCTTAAAGTTATTTTAATATTAGGAATATTTTTAAAACGATAAGCATATAATATAAACCTATTTACTAAATAGATATTTCTTAGACATGATTATTCTAAAAATGTTTTGTATTTAATCTCAATAGGAGATAAATTGATCAAACTGAACTGTATCTTAAATAATAAACTTTTTAAAGTGAAGTTAAGAATATGCTTTATTACTATAAACTTACATATAATTTTTTATATCCCTTTCTCCTTTGAAGTGCCATACTAAATTATCTCTTCAAAGTGTTGAAACTCTTCCAGTTTCAGATCTCAAGGTAAGAGTAAAGTTTCAGAAGTAAGTTTTCTAAGCAGTGAAAACTTGTCAAAAGACTAATTGGGGAAATGGGATTTCTGTTACTCAAGAATGTCAGAAAATAGGGCCATAAGGATTGAATATATCATTGATGCAAATTGGCAGATTACTGTGGAAATTTTGCAAAATTTGTTTCATTGGTTAAAATGGAGCTTCACAGTATAATTCATTGACAGCATGATATGATAGTGAAGAAGTTGGATTACCAGTAAGAAGTTTTGGTCCATTGTCATCCACAAAAGATTGTGTGACTTAGGACTCTTATAGCCCAAATTACTTTACAACGTAGTTGTCATGGGGAAAAAGCAAAAAGGGAGTACTATGTCTTGAGGTCTGGCATGAAAGGTAGAATGTAGATCAAATAAACTTTAACAAAAGAATAAATTTCCATATAAATTATAATTATTTTTTTTATAAAAACACCTGTTTTCTGGAATACAATAGTTCCAGGTTAAAAGCAAACATTATCTTTTTATGAAGTAGGGAACCTAAGGACTGCTAGAAATTGCTGTATACAGAGAAATAACGAGGTACCAAACAGTTAGCAACTATCTGTTGGAGATTATTTAATTTGGATTCTAGGTCCGAGCATAGGATTTGACTTGGTGACCTGAATGGCCCCTTCTAATTCTATGATTTTGCTGAGTTACCAACATCATATTGATATGCTGCTGAAACTGTAGTTTAGCAATACGTGAATGGTTGTAAAATTCATACAAGTATATTTTAACTTTGTTCTGAGTATAGATTTTGCCTGAACATGAATATTATGGGGGAAATTATGCTTTTCAGTCTCATGCTTCAACTGGGATAGTTTTGAAACTTTATTTCAAGCACTGTATATAAAAATTGTCAGCCAAATTTGCTTGATAGAGAGATGGGTGACCTACAAATTGCATAAATAAATAAAAATTATTATGTATTGTGATAATGTTTAAATTTTGCCATATCTGACAGCTTTCATTGTTAGCGAAACGATTCAAGGCTCTGTCAGCTGAATTTAACCTATGGCAAAAAAGAGAGCCAGAAAGTAAGTTTTTTTTTATTTGGATTGAATTATACACAAAGTTATAAAATCTGAAGTATAGAATATGCAATTGTACCTTCTATAGAATATATAATAATTGTATTAAATTAGTGCCACAGCTTTTATCTGTTGTATCATATTGTATAATATGTTGGCCAATAAATTTAATAAATAAAATAGGTATTGTATCATATATATTCTCTTTATTTTGGCCTTTTCTTCATGACCACATTAGCAACAGTTATCAGCTCCAATTGCGGTACATGAAGACTCTGTATAGCTATTTTAATAAAGTAGCTATAGGCCTACTTATCTGTTTCTTCACCTAATCTATTTTACCAACACTCCACTTGCTAAGCTAGAAAGAATCAGGTTAATTTGATATGCAAATCAGATCTAAGAGTCAAAGTTAATGGATTATCCAGGTTAATTGTGATTTGGCCCTAAAGCTGGCTATTTAGAATTGGAAATTATGTCTAAGGTCATTCATAAGGGATTAATTCAGTGCAATAAGAAATTATGGACTGAAAATGTTCAAAATATATTAAGAAATGTAAAACAGCTTTCATTCTATACGATATAAATTGGAAAATATTTCATTCAAATAACAATTATGGTTTTTGGAAATTTTCATCTCGGTTTCATATTTTGAGGACTAAAATCTGACATATTGCAACACATTCTCTTTACAGAGTCTCATCAATAAACTGGTAAACACTCCACATGATCCATGTATAACAATCAGTGATTCATTTTGGTTACCTTACATTGAGCAAGTTTAAGACACTACAGTATTTCTTATTCTTAGTTCCTTTGGAAATCAATTCTTCTCTATTTTTGTCTTTGTTTTTGTTAGCAATGAAATAGTACATCGACACTCAGTAATAGTCTCCTTCCCCCAGTTATGTCTTGTATTCAATGACCTGCTCTGTACTAAAGTGGAAGATGTTTCATTTTTTTGTGCTATTTTTGATAGCATTTAACTATTTTGACATCTTGTTTTTGAGTTTTAATTAATCTGTAATTAATGAGAGAATTTAAATTGAGCAGTTGGATTTCTTTCCTGTTCATGCCCTTTCAAACAAGCAAATGTGTGAAACAGATTACAATATTTTTATTTAGAATATTTATATAGCTGCCTATCTCACAAATATGTGACTCTATAAATACAACAGTTAAGAACTCTGTAACAAACTACAAACAATAAAAAATAAAATAAATGTAAACATATTAAATAAATAATGAAATAAAACCCAAGAAAGCAAGAGAACAAACATTATTTAATCGCATCCAGCTACATTGCAGACTCTCCCTGGGATCCCAAGGCTGGTGAAAAAACATGTTTTAAAGGCCTTTTGGTATGGAAGGCTAACAAAGATAGGGCTAATCTCACCTTCCAGGAAATGATGCTCCAGAGTGTGGGAGTACAGCAGAAAGGCACGCCACCTGGGCCCTATCATGGAGCTCTTTTGGGGTCTCAGTTTGTTTGCTCCTGATGGGACAGATAAACATAATTGGGGTGATGGGACAGATAAACATAATTGGGGTGACCCTTCAAATAATCTAGTCCTGTGCCCTTATAGAACTTTAAAATCAAACTAGCACCTTCAATTATATTCAACAAATTGGTAACCAATGCAGCTTGTGGAATGGAAGATAGTAGTCAGCTTGAGATGTTTCCAAATAGATAGTCACTGTTATCAGAACTGTCTGGAAAATATAGCAAGATCTGTGAATAATAACAAGGAGTGGTCAAAGATGATTGATTGTCTGTTTCTTCCACTTGACTCTTTCCAAGCTTTTGACAGAAAGAAAAAGCCTCTTTTAGATGATGTTTCCTAACAACAGTATATTTTTTCATAATCCTGAAAGAAAATAATAGATACTAAAACACTTCCCCTAAATCAGTGGTTCTCAACCTTTCTAATGCCGCGACCCCATAATACAGTTCCCCATGTTGTGGTGACCCCAACCACTTATACATTACCTGGTGCCAGGGGCGTGGCCAAAGAAAAGGGGGGAAAATGGTGGACAGCCTTGTTTGATGACCCCCGTGAAATAGTCGTTCGACCCCAAATGGGGTCCCGACCCACAGGTTGAGAACCACTGCCCTAAATGATGTTTCATATTTACTTAAAGTTATAGTGAGTGATACATACTCTGCCTATACTAATAATTGTGTTTCAAAATGCAGAAACATTTAAGAATTTTTGGTCTGATATTTTCTTTAATTGATTTATTCTATTGTTTTGTTCAACTGATTTTCCATAAATATAAATATATAAATTCATCTTTAATTGAATAACTATTTTATGTAGGTACTAATGCAACAAAGAGTTATTGATTCAATCAGATAATATATGTTAGAGAGCCAGTTTGGTAGAATGATTAAGACATCAGAGTAGAAATCAGTTTTAGTCCCGCTTTAGGCACAAAGCCAGCTGGGTCACCTTAGAGAAATCACTCTCTCTCGTCCATATAAAGCAGGCAATGGCAAGCCACTTCCACAAAAATCTTGCTAAAAAAACTACAGGAACTTGTACAGGTAGTCACAGGAGTCAACACTGACTGGATGGACGGATGGGCAGACAGACAGATAGACAAAATAAGTTTCAAACAACATTCTTTAAAAAAAAATCTGACATATTCTCTTTTTCAGTAATTACTACAAATCCAGATGTCCTGGTAGCATTAGGAAGAGACCAGGTATGTATGTTAATGAGATGGCTGTAACTTTGTAAAATTATAATTTTAGGAGTAATTATAGGAACCTATGGCTAAGTTTCCCTAAGAAGAAGTCCACTATAGATTCTTGTTTAAACAAATATGCTGTATACTATGTGATATGGTACAAAAATCAACTAGAGTTAATTAGTTGGAGTGTGTTAAGATGGATCTATAAAATTTTGATCTTAATATTAATTATTACTATATTATTATTATATCTAAATATAGGATTATAGATAAAGTCCACCATATCTGGAAGGCACCAGGTTAAGAAATTATGATTAAAGTCAGGATGTTAAATTTGAAATAAAATTCTAATTTTTGCTGCCCACTTGAAGCAACTGTTTACATTGCTGACTAGGATGTCACATAAGAAAAGTTGCAATGAGGTCATGCCTGCAGAGTTATTTGTATAACAATTTAAAATCCATGCTATCTTTTCACTATGCTGGGCAATTAGTTGTTAATCCACAAAAAAGATTCTAATTTCACTGACCTGGTTCTTTGAGTCTTCTGCCAAGACAAGAGGTAAAATTGTGAAATGTGTGGGTATGTTTGTGTGTGTTGTTTATGTGTGTGTGAGAGAGAGAGTGTGTGACTCACCACTGCCTCATTCAGAGAAGCCTGATAGGTAGCAACAATCAAGCTGGTCAGCTGCTAGTGGCTCAACATATCTGTTCTGAAAGTAAAGCTTGGTGCTGCTCCTGATTTGTCAGTTCAAATACATAGAGCAAGGGTGTCAAACTCGCAGTGCCACGTGATGTGTGACGTATCGTAACTTTTTCCCCATTGCTGGCAATGGGATGGGCATGGTTTTGGCATGAAGCATCTGGCCCAAGGGCCGGCAGTTTGACACCCCTGACCTTGAGAGACATGTATCCCTTATAGTCTCAGCAAGCCAAGTTAGCCCATTGTTCTCGAACAAAGTCCAATAATTAGCACTTCTAGGTTAGCTGGCATAGCTTTCAGCTTATAAATAAGCTCTAGGACAGTGATGGCAAACCTTTTAGAGACCAAGTGCCCAAACTGCAACCCAAAACCCACATGCATCGCCGGGTAGGTGTGGCCCATTGGTTGGGTGTGGCTGTGGTGGTAACGGCAGACTGGGTGGGACTAAAAAGTTCAATCAATTCCAACTTTGCAAGATCTATTTTTTTCCCCGCGAGAAATTGAAATTGACTGATTGAACTTTTTTTTTTTTTTTGCACACGGCAGCGGAGGCCTAAAGCAAAAAGGTTTTATAAAACCCAGCTGAAGGCCTAGGATTGGGGCGACGGCACACGTGTCCACAGAGGGCTTTGAGTGCCGCCTCTGGTACCCGTGCCATAGGTTCGCCACCACTGCTCTAGGAGTAGATGGTATGTAGACAACAGACTTGCTCTTCAGTCAATAACTCTACCTTCCACTTCTATTATGTCCATTGCTTTTTACAGTTATCATGATGGTTCTGCTGTCTCTCAGTCCCTCATTCATGAAATAACAGAAAGAGTTGGCTATGATTTCATTGTTATGTTATTGTTCATTGTTTCATTTCGCTATGGATTCATAAAATAAAAATCATACAATATGTTATCCTGAATTAAATCAAAGTATTTACATTAAAAAACTATAATGTATCCCAGAATACTGAATAGCAATAATTTTTTAAAAGTATCCATTCTCTATATGGATATAATTTTTTCCATTTTCAGTTTAGAATTTGCAAATTTGAAGTATAAGCCTAATATATATCACACAGCTTATCTAAACAAATAATTCTATACTGGAAAAACTATGATTTTGATAGCATAATGATTTGAAAATACATTTCTTTTGTTTTTAGTTGCAGAAATTAGACCACGAACTTGAAATGGTGCTATCAACAGTTAATGCAAAGAACAAAAAACTAAAGGAAGATTTTATAAGGTATAGATTGTGCTGAAACTGTTTTGCAATTCTGAAAAATCTGAACTCGCTATTTATGCTTCTCACATTCTCTTCAAAGGGAACAAAAATGGTTGGAGGAGCAGGAACAGCTTATAGAATGTCTCAACCAAACAGCGGAAAGAATGAGTAATTACGTAGTAGATTTTTCTGAAAAAAGGTATTCCAACTTAATTTAAGATGAAGCAAACTGCAGTATCAATTTTTTTGGATAATTGAGTACCATATATGCCGGCGTACAAGGTGACCCGGCGTATAAGACGACCCCCGTCTTTGTCGCCGAGTCGCCTTCCTAGAATGTCGTCTTATACGCCGGAAACTACCAGTATTTCCGGCGTATAAGACGACCCCCGTCTTTGGCGCCAATTTTAACGCGGAAGTCGCCTTATATGCCGGCATATACGGTATTAACATCCATGTCACTAATAACTGACTGTCATTCAAACCCAAATTTAATCTAGAATTATGCTTTTGGCAAAGCATTTTCACCCTAATCTATAACCACGAGTTATTCTTAATATTTTTGGTCCTAAGATACCTTTATGAGTTATTATTGAGCACTCAGTCATTTGTCAGGCTATTTCTACAGTGTATTTCTGCTATGATGTTTGGACTTTCATCTTCCCTATTAATTTGAATGTAGAGAAGTTGATACACCTAGATGCTAATAATTAATGTTTATTTAATTGGATTGTGATTTATTTATTTATTAAATTTCTATGCTACCTATCTCACTAATACAGCAACTCTGTGTTTTGTTATAAGCACGTTTATAAATTATTACCACTATTTTTTTAAAAAAAGTCCATAATCTAATCTTTTTTTATATCCTAGAGCCTTTCAGGAACTGAAAAGTAAAATGCTAAAAATAAAAGCTTATAAGGAAGATATTTTGAATGCATTGGGAGATTTCCTTGATGAGCATTTCCCACTTCCTGAAAATAGTGGAACTGCAAAAAAGAAAAGGGCAGGTTTATTGCATTTTCATATTAAAATCTTGGTTTTTATATTTATGTATATATTTATTTATGACAATCATATACCTTTTCAATTCCAGTAGACTTGAAGTAGTGCACGTAGCATAAAAATACAATAATATAATGTATAATAAACTTAATATCACAATACAATAGTACAGTAGATGGCGCCATATTCCTAACTTAACTCTTTATTCTATGGTATTCTCTAAAATCCTAAGGCAATTTTAACAATCTCATTGAAAATTGCGGGGAAAGGTGCCTTTTTCACTTTTGAATGCAAGTTGTTCCAAAAATGGGATCTCCTATAGAGAATGCTCCCTTCTGTTGCACATCTTAACTGGGAGGGAAACTCATCCGTCACTCCCTGTGCATGGAAAAGATTTGCAAATTCTACACAAAACAGGCAATCTCAAAGATACTAAGATACTATATGGCTCCAAGCCACATAGAATTTAGGGTGATAACCAGCACTTTGAATTGCATCTGAATCTATTGGTAACCAGTGCAACTCCTAGTATACATCAATAGCGACTGTTACAGACTATCAAAATGAGTAGCCAAGTTAGCACTATTTGTCATTAGGAATATGCACTGTGGATTCAGAGGTTTGTCACAGAGCTCAGAAAATTTCTATTCAATCCCAGTCTGGCGTAAATCTGATATGCACAGGCTCTGAGAATCTATATCAGATGTACTTAGGGCAGAAGCAAATTTCTATAATATTTTGAGAGAGAATTATGATAATTGTTGAAAACTAATCTTTGAATTTTTGTTTTTTAAACAGTATAGCTTTCTTTTGTAATTTATTGTCTGACTGCTACCGTGTTTCCCTGAAAGTAAGACCCGGTCTTATATTATTTTTGCCTCCAAAAGAGGCATTGGGTTTTATTTTTGGAGGGTGTCTTATATTTTTTGTAACATTTGCCTTGCAGCAGCGGCACCAACAGCCCCATCCAGCAGTAGCCCGTGTGACTGCTGGCCCACTTCTGCTGTGATTGCTTGTGGCAGAAGGCTGCACAGCACATCATGCCGCTGCCACAAGATGAAGCAGATGGGGGAGGGGTGGAGCTGCCCCATGTGCCCCGCACCTGCTTGCTTCAAAGCCCCCCCAGGCAGGCCATTTGTTGTTTTCACTCTTCTCCTGAGCTGGACTGCCATGCTATGCAGGATGGGCAGAGTAGGCCCGGTCCCCCTCTGCCGTTTCAGAGCAAGGGGAGAGTGATGGCGAAAGACTCCACTGCTGCTGTGCGCCATTGGAGGGGCTTTCTTCACACTTTGCACCACAGATCACCTATCTGGTGGCAGCTGCAGCCTTCTCACTAACTCTCCCGTGGCTTGCGCCTTAACTGGGTGGCACAAGCGTCCCCCTGCCACTTCCCCCCGTGGCCGCCACTGAAGAGAACAGGGAGTGGAGTGGCTCCACATAGCGATGGAGAGCAGAGAAGAGCACTTGCTTGCTGCCCTGCATCTCCCCGTGTCTCCCTTCTCCGTTCTGGAAATGGCAGTCCCGTTTCCTGCTGCTTCTCCTGAAAGCAAAAAGTTCAAAACTAACCTGCTTTCCAGCTCTGGCAGGTTTCTCTTCTGCTGCAGGGAAACAGAGTTTGTAGGTCTAAAAAAAGTTCAGTCACACCTTCCAACTTCTCGCAAAAAAAAAAAAAAAAAAAATCTTGCCTAGAAAGAAATGGCTTGGCTGGGGGGACTCTGAAGGAAGCAGGTGTGGGACGCATGGGGCAGCTGCATCTCCTCCCCCACCTGCCTCGCCTCGTGGCTGTGGCACAATGTGCCGCACTGCCTCCTGCCCCATTGCGGCAGCGAGATGGGATGGAGTGGGCGGGGTCCTAATTAGGGCTTATTTTGGGGGTAGTGCTTATATTAGGCCCAGCCCTAAAAATGAGGGTAGGTCTTTTTTTTTCAGGATGGGGCTTATTTTCGGGGAAACACGGTAAAAAGCTATAGGTAAATGTATATTTTCTTTGACAGACAAGCTATATGGTCAATAAAACATCCAGGTATCCTATAGAAGTCTTAAATATTGATGCGGGGAAATAGGGCCATGACAGTGCACAGAGCCTGTTCTCAATCCATTAATTCTGGCAAGACTACCAGTACATCTTTAAATAATTATCAGAAATAAAAGCTTACTGTTCCTGAATGACGGTTGATATTTAAAACTTCCTTGTATGCTAATCTCTGTAGCTGAATTTTACCAAGATAAGAAATCACATCAAATTTTGACAACAACTCAAATTTGGAGTTGGATAGAAAAGAGATAGATCAGGGGTTCTCAACCTTGGCAACTTTAAGACTTGTGGATTTCAACTCCCAGAATTCCTACTGCTGGCTAGGAATTCTGGGAGTTGAAGTCCACAAGTCTTAAAGTTGCCAAGGTTGAGAACCCCTGAGATAGATGAATGTTTAGATGGGGACGATGGTTTATCTGTCTTTCTACTGTCCAACAGAATATAGAAGCAGTATATAGATTTCCCAGCATGTGATCTCGGATCTCTTTGTATTGAATCTTTGAATCCCAACTCTTCATACCTGAAAGTGAAGCAAAGTAGCTATGTATGCATATGAATGCAGAGATGGCCAAGAACTGTTCCCAACAGACAATTTCCATGTATTACAAAGCACCTCTTTCAAATATTTTGTACAGTATAAGTTATGTGGCCATATGAAAAAGGATATCTTTTCTTCATACAATATTCTTTGAAATGTGGCACATATTCCTATCTACATTCTGGTACTACTAGCTATAGATAAATACAAGTTTAAGTCTAAAGGTAGATAAATGCTTTCTAAACATAAATTCATATCTATCATTGAAATGCTGTTTTTTATTGTAAACATGTATCTCACATATAAAAACATCTAGTCTTTTACTTACTTTAGCATTCATCAGAAGAGGAAGACGTGCAGCTCATATCATTACATGAAATTTTAGAGGTAAGAAAGTTAGACTGTTGACTAATAGTGCTGATAACTATAGTTCGGCATAGCTGAGTTCCAGATTAATGATTACTGTCTTAGAATGTTGAGTTTTTGTATCCAAAACTTAACACGGAATCCCAATTTCATGCTTCCTTATAATTTCTTTTCATTTCAAACAGGGATAGGCAACTCATTTCTCATACTTACTAGTATACCTATAGATATCTTGTTTGGTGCTCATTAATGCTTTTCAGGAATAAATGTGTTTCAACTGAAAAATAATGAATAATACTGTACTGTATGTGCTATTGCATATAGTCTATTTGAAGTAAGTTATTAAATTTAGTTCCAGTTGAAAATGGGATTACATTCGGAAACTTACTAGCTAAACTGAAGCTTTAAATGGACCCAATTTAGAGATACATTTTTTTACATTTTTATCATGCACTGCCTATTTCAAGTTAAAATGCTTAGTTTTTTGGCATTTGCATCTGTTTTAAAAGCTCCTAGTTTTGAATGACAAATAATTGTGCTGTTGTTGAAATGTCTCACATCAAAATATTATGAAAAATAACATTAAGTTAAAATAGATGCCCCCTCCCCCAAGAAGCTATATGCTATCCTGTGTCAAAGTAATGGCCACTACAACACCCTCCATTGTCATTCACTCTTATGACTGATCACAGGGACACTACTGTGCCCTCCTCCTGCCTCACAGGGATCATGTGTGCCTGCTCCCCACACACCCCTCACCCATTACACACTTACGTTTTGAAGATCTATGGACCTCAGGTAGGGCAAGGCAACACGTGCTAGGGCTGCATGGCTACTTCCCGGAAGTGACTGCCATTTTTCATGAGTCAACAATTCCTTGAAGAAATGGCGGCTGCTTTCTGTCCTGATCAGCTGGCAATCAGGAGATTGCAAGCCCCTCCTGTTCTTGCTTAATTTGACAGAAGCCAGCCCCCTGCGAGCAAAGCAGCAGCTCCAAGACAAGCTTCCCTAAATCTTTTCTTTCCTTAGCTCCTTCCTCCCAAACTCACATTTCTACAGTGAAGAAAAAAGAATTAGAAAAAAAGAGCTCGGTGGGATAGACTTGTTGCTTTTTCTCCCTTCTCCTCCCTCCAGTCAGGTGCTGAAACTAAACTCACCATCTCTGCCTTCCAATCTCCCATTTAACCACCTCATTTGATAAATTTATCACCTGCCTGAAATGAGAGTGATAAAATCTGTAAGTTACTTGTGTTAATGAGGCTGTCTCACTTCATGACCATCACCACTTGCAACCATAATGGGCAGGCTCCATTCTAGGACTACCTGTATTTCTATGGAATATGGGGTTGTTATTCCTACATCCTAAAATTGTAATGCTTACCCTTTTCTATCTATGGTAGAAGCAATGTGAATGTGGATGGAACTGTGAAAAGTTAATTTATTCAAAGAGGGGTGATCCTTGCTTCTGGAGGGAAACGGTTGTATGTCCCTTAAAAGCCCCTTTTTGGACCTAACTGCACTAGACAAATTTTCTTCAATCTTCAACCTCCTCTTTTCAGGGAATGAGATTGTGGTTGGGCTGCAGTTTTAGAGCTCTTTGGAAGAAATTATCTAGATCACTTTCAGTCAGGATTCAGGCCAAAACACAATAACGAAACAACTTTGGTTATGCTCTTTAATGACCTTTGGTGGAGCTAAAATGGGAGTAGTGCTTTCATTAGCATCAAAATGTTCCCCTGATAAGACTTAGTGGCTGTAGATGTTTGAATAGCTCTCAAAATGGGAAATATTTCATCTTTAGTTTTGAATGGGATACCATTTTCCCCTTTGAGACTTGCTGATACCAAGTGATTGTAGTAGTTTATTGGTGGTTTCTGAAATATTCTTGATGTGAATATCTCTATCATCAAGAATATCTCTGAAACCACCAATAGACTACTATAGCCACATGGAATCAGCATAGCACACAAGCCAACTAAAGCCCTTCAAATTATCCTAAGCAGACCAAAAACTCCAGCAACCCCAAAAGAATAACCAGGAATAATCTATAACATACAATGTAAGCTGCTCCTTCAGCTGTGGAAAAAGTGGGCTGTCTGGGCGGGGCTGTTGGTGCTGTGGCCGCGAGGTGAGTGGAAAAGACACTCCCTGAAAATAAGAGGTCCCCCCCCCAAAAAAAAAGATGGTCTTATTTTTGGGAAAACACGGTTAGCACTGATGATGTTACCTAATTTGGGTAACAAGAAAACAAGCACGCTCAGAGAGCACCAAGGACCACTCGTGTCAACCCTGAACTACAAATATTTTCCTTTGGGGTCATAGGCAAGATGGCAGCTGTGCACTTAGTGGTCATAGGCAGGATGGCAGCTGTGCATAAGAAGGCCTTCATATAAATCCATCTTATGCACCAGCTGCATTCTTACCTGGACTGGGAGCCATTCAGTCCAGAGACTTTGTTCACTTTGCCAATGAACTTTGAGCTCCATAGGGAGTTGCCCATGAAATCTACTTGGGAGCTGGAACTCATTCAGATTGCAGTAGGAATCTGAGCAAATATGGGCATTCAATCCCATGAAATATCTTTTCTTTGTGAACTGCATTTGTGAACAAGCTCCGAAGTACAATTCAAGAGACTGGTTATCACTATTAAGCCCTTTATGGCATAGGACATGCTTCCATCTGCCTTCCACAGTTTTTGTTTAGCCATTACCAATGCAACAATCAGATAAATGGGTTTTGAGCCCAGGCCAAAAAAGTGGTTTCCAAAAGCACCCCAGACAATGTCTCCATTAATTCACACAAAGATACTATAAATAGGAAAGAAGAGAAGCACATTCAGGCCTGCAATATTCTGTTATAGAGGGGCCTCATTTAGTGACTGCTCATTTAGCAAACGTTCAAAGTTACAACACTGAACTAGGAGATTTACAACTGGTCCTTCAAGTTGCAGTCACTGTATCATCCCCATAGGTCGTGTGATCATGATTTGGGTGCTTGGCAAGTGGTGCACATATACAACGGCTATAGTGTCTTGCATTCACATGATCACCATTTGCAACTTTCATAGACAGTTTCCCACAAAGTCAATGGGGATGCTTGAGAGAAGTTGCAAGTTTTGATCACATGACGTGCTTAACAACTGGCTGGTTCACTTAACGGCAACTAGAAATGATGTAAGTTGGTGTGGCCATTTGTTGTTTCACTTCATGACCACGTTAGCAACAGTTATCAGCTCCAACTGCTGTACGTGAAGACTCTGTATAGCTATTTTAATAAAGTAGCTATAGGCCTACTTATCTGTTTCTTCATCTAATCTATTTTACCGACAGTCCACTTGCTAAGCTAGGAAGAATCAGGTTAATTTGATGTGCAAATCAGATCTAAGAGTCAAAGTTAATGGATTATCCAGGTTAATTGTGATTTGGCCCTAAAGCTGGCTATTTAGAATTGGAAATTATGTCTAAGGTCATTCGTAAGGGATTAATTCAGTGCAATAAGAAATTATGGACTGAAAATGTTCAAAATATATTAAGAAATGTAAAACAGCTTTCATTCTATACGATATAAATTGGAAAATATTTCATTCAAATAACAATTATGGTTTTTGAAAATTTTCATCTCGGTTTCATATTTTGAGGACTAAAATCTGACATATTGCAACACATTCTCTTTACAGAGTCTCATCAATAAACTGGTAAACACTCCACATGATCCATATATAACAATCAGTGATTCATTTTGGTTACCTTACATTGAGCTTCTGCTGAGATATGGAATTGCATTGAGGCACCCAGAAGATCCAAACAAGATACGTCTAGAAAATTTTCACCAATAGCAAGATATTTTAAGATGAAGGGTGATTAGCAGAACAGAGTTAACTAAAAAACTCTAATCTGAGAATATCAAGTGGAAATACTTCATGTTTTTCAGGCAGAATCCTACAATATTTTTGTAAAGTAGCATCTATTGACTCATTTTTTAAAAGTTTGTGATTGTCACAATTCCTTTTTATGTTTTACTGCTGTTAGTAAATAATGTTTGTATTCTAAAAACTGTTGGTTTTCTTAAGAGAGCAGATTAAAGGGTTATTTTAGACAAGTAGTTTGACTAGCTTTCCCATTAATTCTATAATCAAATGTCAAACCTGAGCATCTGTTCAAAAGAAATGAAATGATGGAAGGAACAAAACATTGGCTTTCTAAATAAGATTATACATGCATGATTTAGTAAGAAAATATATGAAAGAAAGACAAGGGAGATGTCATTAAAAGTTTAAATTCAGATCTGAAAATCTCTGGCTTCATGCTGGTATCACTAACCAACTTTTTCATCCATGGGTAACAATGTATTTTAAAAAAACATTTATAATGGAAAATGTAATAGAATACAGGTAGTCCTTGAGTTACAACCACAATTGATCCCCAGATTTCTGATGTTAAACAAGGCAGTTGTTAGGTGAGTGTTGTCCCATTTTACAATCCTGCAGTAAATCATGTGGTCATTAAGCAAATTTGACTTCCCCCGTTGACTTTGCTTGTCAAAAGCTGGCTGGGAAGGTTACAAATGATAATTGCATGACTCCTAGACAGTGCAACTGTCATAAATACATGCCAGTTACCAACTGCCCCGATTTTGATCATGTGAGTGGAGATGCTGCAACAGTTGAAAGTGAAAACCAGTCATATTTTTTTCAATTTTGTAACTTTGAACAGTCACTAAACAAATGGTTGTAAGTCAAGAACTACCTCTACTAATATCAAAAGCACTGTTTCTCACCCTCAGCAATTTTTAGATAGACATTAACTCCCCAAATTCTGGGAGTTGAAGTCTACATATCTTAATGTTCATAAGGTTAGAAACACTGATCTGAATTGTCTGAGGGAAAATAATATTTTAAAAAACACACAATATGTCTTTTACAAATATTGTAGTCCATTCACAGTAGAGATTTAAAAAGCCAAGATGGTGGCTGTAATCAAAGCCACCAGCCTGATCTTTATTTACTTTTATCTATAGATGCTTCTGGTTTATCCCTCAAAAGATCATGACAAGCAGCGTCTCCTTTCAACAGATTGTTACAGATAGCAATAGCATTTAGACTTGTGTAGCGGGGTTGGCTGAAAGGCTTTGCAGGAGCCTGCCCGGGGAGAGGGGAGCTCAGACAGCTGCTGCCGGTTTTGGATCGGGCGGAAGGAAAGAAAAAGGAGAAAAGAAGGGGTTGGGGTGGTTGCTGTGGCTGTTGTCAGAGAGAGACCAGGTGAAGTCAAAAAAGGATTTGAGGTTTTAGCTGATCCCTTTCTGGGGAGGAGAGGGTGGAATTTTACTGCTTTCCTTCGCAGGGGGGAAATCCCGAGCAGAGGCAAAAGAGAGAGAGTGAGGAGAGAAAGTTGCTGGGGTTGCTAAATTCAGATTTTAACAATAAAGGAAAGGGGGAGGGGTTTTGACACTGACGAGACCTGAGACTGTGAATGATGACAGAAGAGAAGGAGAGGCTGGTCATTACTGCTTTGGAATCTAGCGACCATCTGGACTTTGATTGTTGTTACTTGTGCATGTTATAAACATTGTGGGGAGTTGCCCTTGCGGGGTGAGCTGTAGAACGCTGACCACCTTCGTTCATGTTCCTATTGCTGCCTGGAGCCAGGGTTTTCCCCACCCCACTTGTTTCCAAACGGTCACTGTGAAATCATTGACTATTGCTGCTATGACTGCCTGGGGCTATTAACTACCATCACGCATTAACTATCAGGGCTAGGGGCTGGTCATCTTTGTTTCTGAAAGCCCCCCCACCGCTTTGATTATGAGAGTCTGCTATTTCCTCACTTCGCGTGAGCTGCTAGAAAAGACACTTCACTACCACCTTGAGAGCGCAGCTGCAGAGCGCAACGGAGGGGAGCGGGGCTGGGAGGGCTTGGGCTTTGGCGGCCTCTGAAGGGGTAACGCTACACTTATATAACACTTCACAGTGCTTTCCAGCCCTCTCTAAGCAGTTTCCAGAGTCAGCATATTTCCCCCAACAATCTGAGTCCTCATTTTACCGACCTCAAAAGGATGGAAGACTGAGTCAACTTTGAGCCGGTGAGAATCGAACTGCAGGCAGCCGGCAGTCAGCAGAAGTAGCCTGCAGTACTGCATTCTAACCACTGTGCCACCACGGCTCATTTTAGTATATTCTCATTAAAGAAAGCGCAACTTATTTCAAATGTTTTGTCATACTGAACAAAGATGCAAAGCAGGAGCAATGTTTCCATGATTTTATCCCATGACACAAAAATAGATAATGTAGTCTAGAGAGAATGCTACCTATAATTCATATTAAAAGAAAATTGGATTAGGAGATTATTTAATCAGCAGTAGATCTACTTTGGTGCAACCCACATTGTTGTTGCAACCCACATTTTTATGAACACAGCTACAGCATATCAAATCTATCTGTAAAGCACAAGCACAGGATACATTTTTTGCATTTAACAGCCCGTCTTAAAGAAAGCACAGCTTAAAGAGACCATAGGAATAGTAATATAAGCTTTGAATTACCTTTGAACTACTTGCCCTGTAATGAGTTTTAAAAAGTAGTATAATTTTCTTATGTCTGAAACAATTAAGTGCCATTAGTAAAAAATGTGTAACTGATTCCGTCCTGTCTATCCTTCAGCTAGTTTCAGCCAACATCAGGAATGGAACTATTTGCTATTATCTAATATATTCTTAAGACATGCTGGTTGATTTGTTTTTTATAAATAAAGACACTTGGAACATTTCAAACAATACAACAGTATATTCATACTTCTTGTTTTTGTCCCAAACTTTGGGATGGATATTTTATACTTTAGAGATGTTGACTTCAAATTTCAACACATTTAATACTCTCTTCCAGAGCAAGAAGTTTACAAATCATTTTTCATCAGTCAGATTTCAACACAATTGATTTTTGTTGACATAGTTTCAATGAAACTGATTTCAATTTTGCTGAAAAACAAAAAAGGAACAACTATTTATTTTTCTCCTATGCTAAACAGAAGTATTTACCCATATTTACAAATCTTGCTCTGAAGTTGAACAAATTGAAGGGGAAAATTGTTCAGTCTAAACTGATAGAAGTTCTGAATTAGGCCATCCCAAATCTAATTTTGTAGTCAATGCACATATCTCTTCTGATAAACAGCAACAACAGTGAAAAATTAGAATCTGTATAAACAATAAAAGGATGGAAAATCAGAAGGTAGACAATATATAGTAGAATAAGCAAGGACATAATGTCATTTTAGCTGTAACTCGAGAACACTGCTGCTTTTCAGCTGGTTGTAAGCTTGATAGTATTTTAAGGATTGAACTTTTAAAGGTATTTCCATTAATATGTAGTTCAGCAAATCCATTATTGTATAATCCCCATTTCCATAGAATATTACTTACTAGCTTTATATTCTATATTACCTATGAAGTAATATTTTACGCATTGTGTATTCGTTAAAATTCTTGCAATAAAATATCACACTTCAGCCCAGATAACGTATTAATGTTATTAGTAATGTCTTAGTAGGTAATGTATTCCAGTACTGTAGAGGGTCTTTTCTTTCAAGCAACCCATGCTATAAAGGCCACACACTTCAAGAAAGCTCTAGCATTAAAGTGGGTCGTTGGAATTTACTGGGTTCTGGTTATGTAAAATAAGATGTTTTAGTCCTTTTTTAATATAGTAAACTTTTAAATCTACTTTCCATCAGGTTATGTCTGGCTTTCTGCTTCCTCTTTCCTATGATGTTTGTTATGTGATCTTGATTAGGTTATCATCAGTAGCAGCTGCTATGGAGTTAATCACAGCTCCAAGTCACCACATTAGCTAAAATAGCCAAGCACAGCACTCTTCAGATGCATGCACTATAACAAAACTTGATGAGGAAGATTAAATCTGTAATCCAACACATTCTGATCAAAATACACATTTCAGAAATGACCATTAAAGCTCCAGGTGAGTTGGATTTGAACCATTCTGAATGAGCATTTCCCCAAATAATCCTTTGAGAAAGTACCTGCAGCTGCCACATGTCCATCTGATGTCAAGGTAAAGCTGCTATTGATCTCCCTTTTGAGCTAATTTTAATATCTAAAATCCTTAAAACATCGCTCTGTGAATAGGCTTTGTTTATACTGATTCTAATGGCCTTGCTGGCTTGAAATTTATAAACCAGATAGAGCATGTGATTGACAGAATAGACAGGTAAATAATAATTTGGAGGCACTAGATAGATTTTTGATCTGTGCAAATGAAACAATAAATGGACTGATTAAAACTTCAGCATGGTTACTGAGCAGGGAAGATTTAACTTTCAATCATATCAGCTATGGCAAGGAGGATTATTACCTGAAGAATATTACCTGTGTACCATACCTTCATTTATTTCTTCATCTCTACCATTTCTTAAAGACATAAATTAATTTGAATCCTTTTAGTGGTAGAACTCTTATTTCTGCAACTGATCAGAACTTTGTGTTTTGTTACTGAAACCCAGCTGAGTAATTCATTGTTTAAACCACTATATTTGCCTCTCTTCTTCTAATCTCAGGTAACTTTAGCATTCTGTCTTAGTTCAAATTGTTTCCAGATTAAACAAATAACATTCCAAGGACCCTCGGCAGACAGATCTACCCATAATTATAATCAGCCAGAGTTCCAGAAACTCTTTTGTTTATAAAACTTTTCAAATTCTGTATTTTACAAAATATATTATGTCAAATGAAATTTAATCTGGCCTTCTCTTTCTGGCAAAGAATACAATTTGCAGGTGCTTCCAAATGAGCTTTAAGATTACAGTAAGCCAAGAAAAATGTAATTTTGGTGGTATTTCTATTGTAATTTAGCACTCATTTAAAGAGTCCTGGAAGCTGTTTCTTACAGACATACTTTAAATGCAAATTAATCTAGATGACTGTTTTGAGATTCTTGATATATATGAGCAGCAACTTGAGACCTTTACTATTTATAATAAATCATTTCCTTTTCAATCAATTCCTCATGTTTCTCCAATGTTATAATATCCTTTCTTTTGCTAAAAGAACATGGGAATTCTGGCTGGCTGGCAAGGAGTTAAGCTGTTAGCCAT